CTTTTCGAACATGGCGGCGGTGCCTGATGTATTGGATTCCCCACCTGATGCGGTGCCCGAGCAATATAAGGATCAGGTGGAATTGCTTCACCAACAAGTCCTGACTATCTTCCAGTCCAAGGAGATTCCATACTTCATCATGGCAAGGATGGCATCAGATGGCTACCGCTCGGTGGAGGACCTTGCCGATCGATGGCCCACCATCACGGAGGCCCGGAACAACTCCCCAGCAGACCTCCAGTTCCGTCACACAGACCGTGGGGGAGCTTTGATCACACAAGAGAAGACGAATCACCTGGCCATGCGCATTTCACAATGTGTCCGTCAAGCACAACAGTTGCTGGGCACTGGGGGCCTGAACCAGGGCCGAGTGGGACCTGCAGGGCTACTGCCGACGACGTCACAGGCGGCGCCCTCCCTGGATGCCCTGTGTGATCGACGCCAGCTCCTGCAGACATGGACGGTGGTCGTCCAGCTCCCACTCCCACGATTGGAGGATCAAGGCTCGGATGCCTTGTTGAAGAAACAGTTCAAACTTTGTGCGCAAGGAGAAGTTGGCTGGATTGCCAGCAAGTACATCATATCAGCCCTACCAGACCAGGATGAGCGGCCTATCAAGACCACCAAGAAAGTGACGGTCGATGGATGGGAAAAGGAAGAAGAGGAGGAGACACGGAAACTCCCAACTACGAGGCGTCAGTTGGAGCACATGCACCTGGTCTTTCGAACCAACCTCCTCATGGCCATCCTCTCATTTCCCAGCATGCCGAAGCTGAACATCACCCATAGGGACCTAGAGGACTGGTACCGATGGTTCTGGGGAAAAGACATTGCGGACAGGAGACCGCCTCCCAGTGAACAGGTTCTCCTCTACGCTGAAAGGAACGCATGGAGGGAGATCCACAACTTGGTCTACGGGGGACTGGGCCTCAAGGAGGCCATGGCCCAACTACGTCAGGACACCCTGTTTTGGACCAGAGAGGTCTATGAGTCTGTTGCCCGGCAGAAAGGCAACAAAGGCTCCGGGCCTGACTCCCCAACACGACCAGCCAAGTCAAAGGGACGCCAACCTTCGTGGTCACCAACTCAGCCACAATGGAACAAACAAAAAGGGTCACCCAAAGGGGGTAAGGCCAAAGGGGCCATGGGATCCGGAAAAGGGAAGGACTCTGAATGGCCTTCAAACTGGGCTAAGATCTCACCCAAGGGAGTACAGTACTGCCGTGACCACTTCCTCAAGAAGAAATGTCCCGGGAACTGCGGACGCTCCCACAACTGTCCGGTCCTCAAGAATGGCTGGGTATGCAACGCCGCACCCTCAGAACACACCCCAGAGCAATGCCCACACCGTTGACTACTGGCGGACCCGGTAGCGTCTTGCACCGATCACCCACCAGGGTTGATGGACACCCCAACACCTGTCAAAAACCAAGCAACAACGGAACCGGGGGGGTCTCCCCCAGGTTACCCCAACGACACAAGCACACCACATACACAACAAGAGGCAGTGGGCCGACCACTTGATACAACGATGATCATGAATGGACAGTCCCTGCTTGGGCACTGTCCATGGCTCTCATCGGTTCCCAACAGGCTGTTGGAACGCCTTGTATGGACCACACAACCCACGGGGAGCCTCCAAGGGAGGGACATACTACTCCTCTACACCGGCAGGAGTGACGGAGGAGCCTTGGATGACATACTCATCCAACAACACCAGGACCTGGCCCCCAGGATCCTTGCCGTGGACATCCTGAGGCCACCAGAAAAGGGCCCAAACGACATATTGGATGATGAGTTTTACTCAACTCTCTGCTGCGCCGCCGCGAGGGGCCAGTTGTCATTTGTGGGGGGCGGCCCCAACTGCCGGACCTGGAGCATCCTACGATGGTTTCCAAAGCCTGGAGCGCCCAGGCCAGTACGAGGGCGTGATCCCTCCCAGACATGGGGCCTTGACTCAAATTCCCTGGAAGAACAGTTGGACACAGACAAGGACAGTATCCTTCTGCTCCGGCAACTGGTCATCACTGCCCTAGCCGCAAAAGCCAGGCAAAACAAAGGATTCCACTCGTTCTTGGAACACCCTCGTGACCCAGCTGAGTGTAGTCGGGCACCAACGGCGGCAAAATGTTCATCGATATGGGCCACTAGAGTCTACCAGGAGTGGGCCAAAGAGGTAAATCACTGCCAGATCCACCTGGACCAGTGCAGACTGGGACAAAGGGCACAGAAGAGTACGACCTTCTCAACGGACCTTCCAATTCACCATTGGCAAGGCCTCCAGTGCAACCACTCTGGACATTTGAGGCCAATGGAGATGACCTCCCGGGACCTCAGCAGGTACCCGCCAGCACTGATGACAGGGCTAGCAGCAGCAATCATCCAGAGCATTCCAAACACAGGACATCAACCCACCGGGTGCCAACAGGAAGGGGAGCCTCCAGGTCGGACGGACCGCTCCTCATCGGTACCCCTCTCCCAGACGATGACTTTGGATGACGACCCGATCATCGTTCAATCAGGCTTCAAGACTAGACCTTTACGGGATGGAGGAGGTAAGCCCTCAGCCGGGAGACGACCTCCCCCGCTCAGACCTCAGTCCAAGATCAAGCACATTGGAGACTCCATTAGCCACCTGGCAAAAGGATGTGCACAGGACGTCCAACGGTCCATCAATAGGGGTGAAAGAAAACATCCGTTCCCGAAGGAACTTCTTCAGGAGACACGACGGGCCATTGCCCAAGGGATCGGGCTGGACTACCAAATTGCTGAGGAGATGGAGCCAGGCCAGCCGTTCTATCTGAACCTCATCTCAGCCTTAGCGGAAGCTGGTGGAGATGCAGATGCGGCCTACCCCACAAGGGTTGCCAAGGGAGTCCCCTTAGGTGTCACCACACCCACCTGGACATCACCAGGTATATGGCCTACCAAGGAGGAACTCAAAGGAGAATCCCCTCTGTGGGAGGACCTCCTAATACCCATGGGCAGGGACAACTACCCCTCAGCAAAAGATTTCTCCTCTCAGGTCCGACAGACCTTCGTGGAAGAGGTAGATATGGGTATGGTTGAGGGCCCACTCACACAGGAGGAGGCTGCACTCCGCTGTGGATGCACCCCAGATGAACTCTGCCCAGGGCCCCTGGCGGCAATTGACGAAGGAGATAAAATCCGCACAATCTACGACGGAAGCTGGGGCCATGCAAACTCACACATCCAACAAAACACAGTTGAGAAGACCACTGCACCCACAGTGATGGACTGTGTTCAAGCCATTCACTGGCTAACCACCACGAAGGAGAAGACATCTGGGACGGTAGCGTCTTGCACCGACCTGGCATGGCAACCTCCACACAAACAAACCACCTGGGCACTTTTGAAAGCAGATGTTTCAAAAGCACACCGCCGCATCAAGGTCCAGTCCAACGAATGGCGCTACCAAGTAGCACAACTTGATGGTGAATGGTGGATAAACAAGGTGGGTACCTATGGTATGGCCAGCGCCCAACTTTATTGGGGCAGAATGGCGGCACTCCTCCTCAGACTATGCTACATGATGTTTCCACACATAGACTGGGGCTTTGTGTTCGTGGACGATTTTTGTTGGCTCCTCAGGACGGACTCCGCCACTGAGGATACTGCAAAACTGCTTCTCTTCTTAGCAGCCATGGGATGCCCCCTCAGTTGGCACAAGACGGTGTTATCTGAGGTCAACACCTGGTTAGGTTTCCAGGTCAATCCATGCGGACCCGTGGTCGACTTCCCTCCAGATAAGAGGAAGACACTTGAGGCACTCCTTCAGACCATTGCTGCGGGCAACACCTTCACGGTGAAGGAGATTGAGAGAGCACTGGGACGATTAAATTGGGCAACGGCAGCTTGGCCCCTCAGTCGCCCTTTTCTTCAGCCATTTTGGGCATGGAAATCCGCGACGACTACCTCAGGGAAGCCCGGCAAGCTCATACGATCCTTTTCAAAGCTTCTCCTCCAGCTGCTTCACAACCCCCAGATCCAGCCCTGCCCTTACGACCCTGCCTCCAATTGGTGGGGTGCCAGTGATGCTAGTGCACACCCGGACGATGGGGCCTACATTGGGGGGTGGATTGCAGATTGTGAGAACCCATCAAAGGAACAGACCTGGTGGTTCCATTACAAGATACCCCTCGAAGACCATCCATGGGCTCACAAGGATGGTGATCCAACCAGACGCATTGCGACCCTCGAGATGTTTGGTACATTGATTCTTACCCACTTCCTTCTGGCTTTGGGTGGGAAATCTCTGCTTCGTACCCGTCTCAGCCTCATTTCAGACAATCAAGGCAATGTCTTTGCCCTGTTGAACCAGAAGACGAAGCACATGCCTACCTCAGCTTTCCTAATGCAGCTCATCGCCATGCTCTATGTTGCTGGGGTTCAATTGGCGCCTTCACACATGAAGCGGGACTACAACAAGTGGGCGGACGAACTCACCCACCCAAACTTCACTGGTTTTCATCCTGATCGACGACTACCAGTGAGTGAAGTTTTTTCCCATTTTAAATTTCTCTGGGCCCTTCTGGATGACCAGATGAGTGTCCCCACCTTTTCAGGAAATTCAAAACGTCGTAAGACCGACTCTCACGCCACCTAAGGTCCTTCGGGAGCCAGGTGGTTGCGGCTGACTTTATGGTGTACAGTGGTGTTTTCCCACCTACAACCCTCTTTTTCCTTTCCTTACTTGCGCGAGCTTCACGCTCCGGCGGGTTGGGTGGATTTTGACGTGTGACACCACCACTGCAGTTCAGAGTTTCTGTGAAACCATTTGTGATTGATGCGATTGGCATCTGACAGAAACACAGCCGCAAAGCCAACTGCATAACAAAAGGTGCTGACTGACCGATGCAGTTGCTTTGTTCCGTTTCTGTCATTTTCAATTCTATTCGGGAACACTTGATGGATTTCAGTGGATTTCATAGTGTTTTTTCGTGCATGAGACGCTTTTGACGGCTTGAATTGGTGAGCAGGACTTTGTGGACATCTCCACTCACACCACGCCGGCGCTTCAGACCCGAGCCAAGATTCGCTGGGATGACAGGTGCGCACACTGTTGTGCTAGGACGACAAGATTTGGACATTGGATTCTTGGGTATTCAATGCTTGGCAGTCTTTGCATTGATGTGAAAGTCGCTCGACTCCGTAGCTGTGAAAGAAACGTAGGCTCAAGCAAGTCAAGCTTGGCCACAATTATGAGATTGGACAGACAATCGTGCATTTTTTCAGCAGTCCAACAGATGACTTGTTTTGTAGGAACACTGAACAAGTGAAGAGAGTTCTGAGAGTCCGGTTGTTGTGACGTTGACTGAGAAAACAACAAATGGGTAATGAATGTTATGTACTGTAAGTTTGTAATGCTTAGTCCGTTTTGACGGTTTGGCTTTGCGCGCGATTGCAGGATTCAAAGCGTTGCTGCCATGAACGCCCTAGGTTACTATTCAGATTCAGAGGAGGAAGAGCATCCTCCAGGTTCTGGCACTGCACGTGAACCTTCTGAACCCTTGCAAGAAACAGATGGCGAAACAGGCCATGGCAATGCTCTGGCTACGGAGGCGAGCCAAGCAGAAGGACAGCCACAGCCTGCACAGAGTGAGTTGGAGCTGCCACGCTCAAAAGTGCAGCTGGATGCTTCGACTCCTTTTGGTGTCATTATTGATGTTTGGATTCAACAATCTGCTATAACCGGAGACGGTCCACCACCTGAATACAAGGAGGAAATTATGGAAGTTTACGAGAATGCCCCTCCTGAGGGTCAAGAGCAAATGCACAATGACATGCTTCAGATGGTGCTCCAGCAAATGGAAGAAAGGGCAGAACCGGAAGAGAACATTGCTCATCCGAACTTTGAGGAGTCAGAAGAGCAAATGCAGGAAGACTCCACACAGCCGCCTACTTCAAAGATGCCAACAGATGCGGCAGACCCACAAAGAGCTCTGGGGCAGGTGGAAGAGCAAGCTCGGATTGCTGCGGAGAAAAAGGCAGCTTTGCTTGCTCGGATGGGAGTAACTCCTCAAGCTGCACCAGCAGAGGTGGAAACCAAGAATGTCCATGTTTTCTTTGAAATTGGCATTGATGATGCTTGGGCAGGACGCATCGAGTTTGAACTGTTTGGAGATATTGTTCCACGCACTGTGGAAAACTTTCGGTGCCTCTGTACAGGGGAGATGGGTCGGAGCCAGAAAACGAAGCAACGCTTGACTTTTGAAGGATCGGTATTCCATCGCATCATTCCATCATTCATGTGTCAGGGTGGTGATTTTTCCCGAGGTGATGGGACAGGTGGTGAGTCCATTTATGGGGACAGATTTGCAGATGAAAATTTCAAGTTGAAGCACAAGAAGGGCTGTTTGTCAATGGCCAATGCTGGTCCGAACACGAATGGATCTCAATTCTTTATATGTACAGATGCCCCATCACATTTAGATGGCAAGCACGTGGTTTTTGGCCAAGTAAGCAGTGGCTATGAGATAGTGGAGAAGATGGAAGCACTGGGTTCCAGATCAGGTCGAGTTTCCAAGACAGTGACCATCATGAGTTGTGGTATGGTCGGAGATTCAGAAGGCCAACCTGCCAAGTGCCCGCGGCTGATTGACACAGCGCCTGCTGCACGTCTGGCACCAGTGGAAGATGCAAACGGGGCAAACGGTGGTCTGTTGGGACTATTGAAACAGGCAGATGAGTTTTGCGCTGCACAGCAGATGTCTCAGGTGGCTGCCCAAAGTCAGGCAGTCGAGGATGCTGAGGAAGCGCATGTCCTCCACATTCTGCGCAAACATGCAGGTTCAAGGAAACCAAAGAACCGAGGGGGGCAGTCGATTACTTGCAGCAAAGAGGAGGCAGAGCAATACTTAGAGGAAATTGCAAACCAACTGGTGGGCTTATCCGGAGAGGAGCTGCGTGCCAGATTTTCGGATCTCGCTCGAAGTGAGTCTGACTGCGCCTCCGCCAAGAAAGGAGGTGATTATGGGAGATTCAGGCGCGGGCAGCGAGAGTTGGCCTTCGAAGATGCAGCCTTTGCCCTCAAGGTGGGTGATGTGTCTGACATTGTATCGACAATGTCCGGGGTTCATTTGATTTTGCGCGTACCGTAAAAAAGAGCCCTTGCCTGTGCATGGAACCACAAGGTTTCTCAGCCTTGCATCCTGTTGAATTGTATTCTTGTTGCATCAAGGTGTACTTGTGCTGCAGTGCCTGTGATGCCTGTGATATTTCATCATAGGAATCATATGAAATCACATGATTTCATGTGAAATCATACGAAATCATCATCGCATGTCTGTGAATCTCCTGGATAGATGGGACGTGTTTTGTCACTGCCCTGTGCGCAGTTTCCTCTATGTGGCCGCAGAGCTGGAGGAGCCCAAGCCCTGGGCAACACTGCGAGAACATGATAGCGTCATTTTCCATGTGACTGGGCCAGGATGCAAACAGCTATACGAGACAAAACAGACAAGTAGAGGTCCTTCATATGGGAAAAACAGCTTTGAGCTTTGGGGTGGATTTCCACAAAGTTGGATGAGTTGCATCTAAGGACAATGATTTCGAGGTTTTTGTTGATGCCAATGCCACCAAGCTGCACCTTATGACAAAGAATAAAGCTTTGTGCATGAATCTATGTGATGAAGGACAGCTCCTGAGCCTAGGCAACGACACACTATTACAAAGAGTTTGAAATGAATGCGTTCAACACAACTTGGATGTTGGTCCTCAACAAACCCTACAACGATGGTGGATACGAAGCTTGACTTGAAAGCGTTGACATTGTGTTGACGTCGTGTTGACGTCGTGTCGACGTCGTGTTGACGTCGTGTCGACGTCGTGTTGACGTGACACATTGATAGTCATTGAATGTCATTGACAGATCAAGAGTCTGGAAATCCTGGCTACAGATTCCAAAGCAATCTTGTTGGAAAGCTATTGACCTTCTGCCTAATGCCTCGCAACATCCTGCAACTGAATATGTGCAGCCGTCAGGAGAACTCAACGCGTGTTTTTCCCAATGGCTGGACCATGCAACCTCCTTTGCGCAGTGTGGCCAGTGTGGTACCACCAGATGCTCTGAATAATCCAAGCAAGCAGGCCTGAGTACAGAATCAGAAGCCGAACATGTGGTGAAGCACACAGATTCTCCAAAGCAAGAGAGAGAGAAAGAGAGAGAGAGAGAGAGAGAGAAAGAGAGAGAGAGAGAGAGAGAGAAAGAAAGAGAGAGAGAGAGAGAGAGAGAGAGAGGGGGGGGAGAGAGAGAGAGAGAGACACACACACACACATACACATAAGGGCACACAAAGGCACAAATTCTGAAAAAAATCATGCAGCCTTCGAATCTGACCCAAAGGCATCCCCTGCAAGTTCTTGCCTTGTCATTTTCCCACCTTTACATTGCTGTCAAGGGCAACCACTGGACAGTCGAGATTGCGATGCCCCTTGCAAGCCTCGTGCAGGAGACAGGCAGAAATTCACCTTGAGCAAAGTCCATTTTCGATTGATCTGTCTTGACTTCATTCGCAGATTTGTTTGGACAAACCTGAGAACTGCTCTGAAGGCACTCTTCACATGGTGAACTTGCAGCACTTCTGTGGTATTCTGTAGCGTTTGTGAAATGCCAGGCGCAGCATTGCCGCAGCCGAGCACATTCTGGCGAATCAACTTTAGCCGAGTGCAGTGGCATTTGAAGGCATCTGATTTGTGGATATTTCTGGGATATTTGTAGGTTTCGAGTCCTTTTTGGGGTGGTGGAGGTTGCTGCATGCGATTCCATGTTTCCACAAGCAAAACCTACAATACCAATATTCAGGGCCAGGGAGAAGAAAGTCTATGCATCGCGACCGCAAGGAAATTGGTAAGTCAATGGCTATTCAAAGTTTCTGGATGACATTTGTCATCCTTTTTCATGCTTTGTCATCCTTTGTCTATATCCACTTCTTCCAGCATTGTGAACAGCTGAAGCCTTCCATTGTTGTTTGCCATCCGCAGATAGACATATCTTCCAGCATCTTCCAGCCGCAAGTGGCCAAATTGCTTATATATAAATGGATTGCAAGCCTTTATGCGCACCAGAACCTGCTTGCGAGGTGAATCCTGCCACAGGAAAGTATGAGAAGAACGCGTCCTGTCAGTCGTGTCCATCACCAGGGAGCCCCAATGAAGACAATTGGGTATGGTCTCCACAGTGCGAGGCTGAGCTCCAATGAGTTCTTGTGATTCTCTCAGCCCATGAACATCAACTCAGGTGGGAGGTATCAACGTACATTACACACTGCAGATATAATGCCAGTGCTGGAGTGTGGTAGAAACCGCATGAGATGGAGTTGTTTTTGTAAGGTATGAGATTGCTATGCACCTTCCTGAGCGGTGGGGTATCTTGCAATTCGAAGATTCGATGGAGACTGGGGCTAGCTACTACCAAGACCCGACCTCAGAGCTGAACAATCAACATTCTGATTCAAGGCCATTCAATGTGGGGAAGACCGTATCAAAACCGTAAGACACACAACATTTGACATCATTTGACTTTGATTTCATGCCCCCAGCAGAATCCCGAGCAAATGGCTGAGGAGTGGCCAAGCCGTAGTGCTGCGATGGCCATTTACTACGCACAACATGCATACGCTTCAGATCATGGAGGTGGTAGGGTCATGGGTAGAATGTGGTATTCCTGGTCTTCTTGGTATTCCTGGATATTCTTGGTATCCTTAAATTTGTTGCTCTCACGGGTACTGCCTCACTTGTGAAGACTACACGAAGCAATGCGGCAAAGGGTAAAGAGCTCGAAGGGCTTTGACACCTGAAGCAATCTGATGCAGTTTTTCTTTACGGCTTTGTTTTGCGGTGTGCTTTCTCCAGGAAACTACACGGCGGTTTTGGCCGAGCTCTTGCCGTACTCCTCCGATCCGTTCCCAATCTGCAGCTTGGCAACGGAAACAGGGGACACATCGTGACACCGTGACACCTGACGCCTTCAGCCATCAGTGTTTATTTGTTCACCACGTCCAATCCTGGCAAGGCAGTGAGGCTGAAACCTTCATTACCGCGAGTGGTGGAGAGCATTCCTTTTTTGAGGTCTAGCTGGCGCAGATTGTGGCTTCTAAGTGCTTGATAGTATATGGTCTGTGAGCAGTGGTATTTGCTTGGGAACAAGTAGACTGAAACAGTTTGAAAATGCAATCGGTTGAGAATTGCAATTGGACAGGCTCGCGTGACATCTCCTGCAGCCCCACAGTATACGGCTACAGTTAGAAATGATAGATTCCTTGTAGTTGCAGCAAGCTGAATGGATAGATTGTCGGTGAGCACCGGCAAAGCCGTGCAACACTCAAGCGTTTTGAAGGAGTTTTAGGGCTGAGAGTCAGCTGCGATCGGCGAAAGAGGGCAGACTTGCAGCCTTTGTGTACCCCACGTGAGGACATCGAGAAGAGGGTAAGCATCAGATGTGCCAGGGTTGTGCTGCGCTTGAATCGCCCGAACATTGTCAGGTTTCAATGCTGCGAGAAGCATTACGCCTTTTGGATTTGCACGTATTCACACCATACTCTTTTCACACAATGACTGCAAACTTCGGTGTTTCGCATAGTCATAGTGGGTGGTTTTTGACTTCTTGCTGCTCATAACATCACTGTTTTGGCAGAGCTTGACAGAGCTTGGCAGACATTGCTGTTTTGGCCATGAGATTTGGTGACCGGAAACTCGATCAGTGCCGACTTAATTACTTGACATTTTGAGGTGGCCTGGCAGATGACGATGGCTGTGTTTCCGAAGAAGCCTTGCAAAACGTGGCAGGTGCAAAGCTGGACCCACTGTAGGCATTTGGTTTGCAAATCTATGAACGGACTAAAGGATTGACTCAGTGGTATTTCAAGATGGATGGGGGGTTGTATTTGTGCTTGAACAGACGGAACACTTCCATCCCCGTGCTGCGACATGGCCGCTTGTCTGCCAACAGGCTTTGAGTCTGTGGCAGCCACACTTGAGTCTCAGCTAGAAATTCAGCGGTCGCTGCCAGAATAGCTTTCATGAGTCCCTCTTATTGTTCAATGCAAATTGCATTTGTTTGTGGGATGTCTGACTCTGGTGATAATCAAATCTACTGCCAGATTTTGCTGTTGCTGAAAGGAAGAGCAGCTAGGTTGTGGACCATGGCACCTTAGTTGCAACTTCCAGAATTATCTTGCACCGCAAATCTTTCCTGAAGCTGAAGTGTTTGGCAAGCAGCAAGCAGAAACGGGATTGCTGATGCTCGACTCTTTGACTGTCCTGTGCTTCGTTTTTCTGAGGCATGTTGCGAGGTTGGAAGAACTATTTTTCGGAACCTCCAGCAAGGAGGAGGACGAGGAGGACAGCGCTTCCTCCTTGGAATGGTTCCATACTAAAGTGATGAATTTGGCGGACCATTATTTTCTCGAGGTTGAATTGTGCTTTGTTCAGCTCCTGTGATTTTTCAGTGATTTGTCGTCTCTCAGAAGACACTTCAACATATACGTAGCTTTAAGAGCTGCATTTCATGTTTCGCATACTTGGGGCAGGATCGCAACTCGAGGAAGGCCACCTGGGAAGTGGCCAAATGTTGCTGAAGTCTGGATGGATGGTCATTCTTTGTTGCATTTCTTTCTGACAAAAGATATGGCTCCAAAATGCTTCTGCAGAACGGAGACTTTTAGCCGCCACTGAGCAATTTATCGACTTTTGTCGTTTGTAGGCAGATGTGTCTCCTGTGCAATTGGGCCGATTTGCTTCCCCACCGCGAAGGCAGGGAGAACAAATCGAGCTGCGTCAGCCAATCCTTCAAACTCGAAAATGTAGGATTATATAGATGAAACGAAACTTCGACATCTGGCGGAATCTGGCGGTGCAGTGGATTTTGGGCTTCATGCAGCCTTGGTGATACCTGAATGTAGGCATCTGCCAAGACGGCACACTGTCAACTTTGCGGAAGAGGCAGCTGAGAAAGTAGTGCCCCGTAGCTGGCGTATCCGTCGACTGACCCGACTCCTTTTTGATTTGCGCATTTTTTGTTTTCTGGCGCTGATATTGATTCGCATATTTGATTTGAATTTGTCGTGTTCACCCTTGCTTAAGCCATTGTTCAAGACGGGATGGTTTGGGAAGCTCTGGGAAGCTCTGAGTTTGCAACGATTCCAAATCATGAGCAAAATGCCGGCATTTGTACCTCATAGTCCATCTAGGAAGTCCATCTACAAAATATACTACACATTCATCAAGCTAGTGTATGGTTGTTGCTTTATGTCTAGGGCTGCTGAGGTTCTTGTTTTCTGATAGTGGTATGAAAGGAGAAGTTGGTTCGCGTGGAAGCAATGGTACTTTTGCAGTGCTCGCTTCTGATGTATTGTTGATGCGTGTGAAATGAATCTTAACATAATCAAAGCGAAACTGCAGATCTGTTGTATTCAGAAGAGAGGTCAAGTGCCGGGGTTGTTTTTTGCATTTCTTTCTGCAGGCGCACCACATGGTTGATGGAGAAGATGCTGATGACGAATGGCGCGTACCTCAGTAATTAGTGTTGGGTGAGTCGTGTTCACAAGCAGAGCCAAAGAGTCATTTTTTATGCACTCCTTTGCTCCCCATCACCTGGCTACCTCACCGCATTCCAACTGTTTTGCACGCATTGGAGCTGCTTGGCGTCCAATTTAGGTTTCTCTTCCAGAACACGCCGCCAAGGGAAACCTTATACTTAAGTTGGCAACATACACAAGTTTGGAAATTCGGCTGCTTTCCTTCCATCATAATCGCCTTGATTGCAGTGGCAGTGGCGACTGGAGTTTGAGGCACTCCATTCAATCAACGGTCCTCGGTTTCACTTGATGTACCAATGCGCTCGGAGGTTTCGCGTCATTGGAGCTCTGGAGGAAGCCTTGCGCGAGGATGAAGAGCAGGCAGCACATTTGTTTGTTGACATTTTCTGATTTTGCCGCGTTGTGTTGCATCTAAAGTCACGCAGCGCACTTCTTGAGCAGCTGTTGCTGTCGAACCAACGCAACCTTGCCAATCTCTCTGTTGTCATTGATACTTTTTTGAATTCATTGAAAATACAGGCATGTCTCAGGCGACTTAGCCATGCTTCTCAGCCTTTCTTGCCAAGGGTAGAGTGAACAAGATGAGCAGCAAAGTGAGTGATGTGTATCCTCTGACGTCGAAAGGATGCTGCACAGCTGATGCAACTGCTTAGGAGGACAACCAGACGCTGGGGGGAAGTCAAACTCAATTGTCGGAACATGGAACACAGTACTCTATCGGACCCGATTCTTTTATCCTCAGGCTAAATCACGGAAGCTTAGCAAACATGTTTTCCTAACGACTATAGTTTGAAAATTCACTCAGTGAATTTCATGGCACAAAGACCCTAGTGTGATTCCACGCTGTCGTATGGTAGGTCTTAGAGAAGCCTGGTTGTGAATGATCGATGTGTCCCGCACCTTTTGGCTGAAACCTTTAGGATCTTTAGGGCCCTTGAGCTTTTCGTGGGGATGAGTCAAAAGGACATGGAGTCGGGAGCTCTACGCATGAACCTCAGAGTTCCACTGACAGGGATGGTGCTACAATGGACCATGACTATTCTGGTCAACCAGTTCGCAGTGTGTACTACAAAATCCAATCGCACACAACTCCTCCAATTTGTTTTCAAGTTGCTGGTGAATATACTTTAGAAGTGCCACATCCCAAATTTCCTGAACTGTTTGTGCGCCCAATCATTGTAGGTTTCATGTGTAGTACGCTGTTTGACATTATTCACTCTCCTCAAAATTCGGATTGGAGTCAAGTATATGCCTTGCTGCTAAAACGACTGTGAACGGACCTTATCTAACACTCTTTGGAGAATGGACGGGTGGTGGAACACCAACGGTTTTGGAACACAAGTCCAAGTCTGCATCAGCTTCACCAGATCGAGGACGTGCTGAGAGGAGCCCCGTCGTTGGACGAGATGATGGACCCCGGTCGGCTGCTGCGGCTTGGAGGAGGACAGAGCGATCCTGGAAACCCTGAAGATGGACCAAGATGGACGGGAGAGCGACCAGCAGGAGGAGGAGGAGCGTTCGGACTGTGTTTCACGTTGTGCTGCTCAGTGGAGGATGAACAGCTGTCAGGAGAGATTGTTCCCCTGAGAGCTGAATTGGTGCAGAAGGTTTTGAAAGGCTTGAGAGGCGGTGGTTACTTGGCAGCTCAGGACCTAGGAGTTGAGATCCTCATGAAAGATGGAGGAATTGAGACTTTGATTGCAACCCTGAAGAAGATGATCTTTCTTTTGCAGTCTCTGGAGGCTAAGGAGCTTTACAGAGTTGGTCAGATGCAACAGGGCCCCTTGTCACGCCAGACAGGGGAGTCAGTAGTTTCCTCCATCTCACGAAGAAGATGAGCACGTTGAACATGGGCACATTGCCCAATAAAATCTGAACAGCCCATTGAGTGGGACTACGTTGAAGATGACGACATTGCAGTTGCCTTGGCTGCCATGGCTGGTTGTGACCAAGATAATATGGCAGAAGCTTCTGCCCAACAGCTTTATGTAGGTTACATGGCCGCTGGCACCCATAAGGGAAGACCAAGGGTTTCACAGGCAAGGACAAAGGCAAAGGCAAAGGTAAGCACATTCTCCGGACATAGCTCAGTGTACGGGATCGTGTCAAGCGTCTAGCAGAGCTGAAAGCTCGTTCCAAATGCTTCCGATGTGGTAGCGCCGGTCATGCAGTGGTACCGTTCAGTGGCACCGGTGACCCTGCTTGCAAGTATCCTAGCCAAGGGGGTGGCCTATAGGAGCCCAGTTTCCAGACACTCATCCATAGCACATGGGACCTTCAGTAGGTGGATCAGCTGCAGGTGGATCAGCCAACTCAGGTGATGGTGATTTCAGCATGGCCAGTGACAACCGTAAGGATCGTGCGCGCCGAACGTGTTTCCCAGCCTCTGCGAACTTGCTGCTATGATCTGCGCTCACCTGGATGACCTCCTCTTCGCCTACACAGATGAAGAGAAGGATGCAGTCGATGCTATCCTCGTCCTCAACCGCTTTTCGGTTGGGAAGATTGAGGAAGGTTAATGTCGCTACTGCAGGCGGCTTTTTTCCCCAAGAATTGGATGTACTCGGAAACGGAAACCAGCTGCCATTGGACGAGTTCGACAGGAGGAATTGACTTCTCTCCGAAGGGTCGTTAGAGGATTGGCATGGGTGAGCAGGTATGTCAGGCTAGATCTTGCTTCACGTGTGAATGAGCTTTAACGTTGTCGCCATTCCAAATTCAAAAAGCATTTTTCAAAGCTAGCATTTTTCAAAGCTTGAAGGACGCTAACCGAGTTGTGGAACTTGCATTGCAGGGAAGTGATTTCAAAATCACTTTCAAGACTGACTGGATTGCGTGGAGCGATCTTGCAGTCGTTACCTTTTCCGATACCAGCTTCGCAAATGAAGCTGAGTTCAAGAGTCAAAAGGGACGTATCCATTACATCACGTCACTGAATGATGTGAAATCGGGTGAGCACAAATTTCACTTGGTTGGGTTTGGATCGACGACCCTGAAGAGAGTTACAACCTGAGGCCTTTGCTCTCCAGGGATTAATCGAATCAGGAGACAAGTTGCGTGCTTTGTTGTGCAAACTGACTGGTCACCTGAAAGCAGTCAAGGAGTGGCAGGAACATAGCCAGCGCACGATGCTGCATCTGTACTTCACAGATTGCCGTTCCTTGAGCGACCACTTGTCTTGCGAGGTTGCGTGCAAGGTGCAGGACAAGCGCGTGGGAATAGAGCTTTCTTTTCTGAGGCAAGCTTTGTGGATCAATGGCGAGAAGATTTCCGAGAAGTATCACCCAGCAGGCGTTGAGATCAAATGGATTGACAGTGGCAGACAGTTGGCAGCCAGACTGTTTGACCAAGAGTATGAAGCCTGACTTTTGGTTAGAGTGCTTGCTGCGGGATACATCAACGCAAAGAAGCCGAACTGAGAGACTTGGAAATTGCAGAGGTATTGGAATAGTACAGTAGCACCAGACCAGAATGAGACAGTCTGGGGTGAGCCGTTTTGGCCATTCCAGTAGGAATAGAGTTGCAGGCCTTGTTTTGTGGGTAGTACTGCTGCATTCACACCAGTAGATAAGACGGGTGTGATTCCACGCTGTCGTATGGTAGGTCTTAGAGAAGCCTGGTTGTGAATGATCGATGTGTCACGCACCCTGGGCTTAAACATTTGAGGCCCTTGAAGCCCTTGAACTTTCCGTGGCGACAAGTTGATGGATCCTGCCGAGATTCAAGCTAGTATGTGCCGTAAGAAAAGTACATACAGACACACGCAGTCTTGTGGCACTTATTGTCAGCATTTTTATAGTTGAATTATTAAATGTGGTTGTTTGCTTTGGTCGGCAGGACATTTCAGATGATGCAATCATGGCATCACCAAAGGCTCACTTCCATGGGGCAGCCTGCGTGCAACCGAATGCATCACATCTGGATTCACGAGCAGCATTTGGCTACGATGCAATGGTTTCGCAGGCAGAAATTGCAGGAACAGTTTGACAGAGCGGCAGAGCAGGCCAAAGCAGTTGAGAATCCTGGAAGTATAGGTAGCCTGTGCTACCTGACCTAAACTCCATGTGCTTTAGTAAATAGAACGTATTTGGGAGGGGTCGAAAATTAGGTTTGAGACCCACTGCCCCACCCACTCAACTCCCCCGGTCTTTCCGCGTCATGACTTTTGGGAAGGTTTTTGTGATTTGTTGGGTTTGTTGAGTGATTGATCACATGGGCTACACGGGTTTGCATTTGTATATTATTAGGGCGATTGGCCTGGTGTGATTGGCCTGGTGTGTTGGACCAGGGTTGGTGGGACTGGGGTTTGTTGGCGGCATGGGCGTGTATTCTATTAAAAAAATATGCCTGAATTGTTTTCTTGGCCGGCTGAGTTCTTCTGCGTTGTTTCTCATTTTGCCAGGATCACAAATTGACCACTGTGTTTTCTCTTGGAACCCAAGATTGGCCAAGCGAGCTTGAATTTTGATTGGGGCGAATCGTTTAGTCACAGATGAGGTTGCATCCAGCTACACTCCCAAGCCGAAACTTGTATATTTTTTGCCCTAAGTAATTTGCGAAAACCAGCCAAAGGCGTGTGGCTGAGTTCTGCAGTTTTGCAGTTCTGCATGGCTCACGACCCATCATGTCACAAACTTTGCAAGGCTAGACCTCGTTTTTTTTGTCAAAATGTTGGAAGGCGAAGCTCCAAAGTGACCGCGCTGATACCGTGGCACCCTCAACAGGATTAAACGAACATTCCAAATTTGTTGGTGACCCTACCGGCTTGCAGCTTACAAACCAATTTCCATGTATTTTCTTCATGTAGTGGCGGACGATGGACAATGGTAGACAGGCCAACTGCTCAGGCTGAGACTGCAAGGCTTGCGGCAGAGGCAGAACTTGCGAGGGCTGGTGGCTGGTGAATTGAGGACATAGAAGCATTGGAAGATAAATCACAAGGTCTAAACGGCGAATCGAGGAATCGAGGAATGAACAATTCCAAAAGGCGAGCTGCAGTGTTCTAACCAGCACAAGCCACATGTTGGTTTGAAAAAAACATCCAAAATGGTCACATGAATCAGACTCCATCAGGCCGTGTCGTCCTTATGGTGCATCTGTGCTGATTTCATCAGGCGGCTGAGGCTGCAACGGTAGCTCAGCTTGAGGAGCAAGAGAAGCGGTTGGTGCAAGGCAAGATCTGACAATTTAGAACTTCAGATGGGTTGCTAATGATTGCATTGTGTAGGTGTAATTTGAGCGGTTTGTTTCGATTAGAGTTGGAATTGGGATTTGTCTTTGTTGCGAAAGGTAGAAGAGGTTACATGAGTCTTCCATGCTTAACATTTCTTATTGGAGGGTTTGGGAAGTGCCCGACAAAGGGAGTGTACACGTGGAGGGTCCCCCCCATGTCCGAGAGGAAGGTGGGGGAGGGTCATGCTGCCGTGTATTAAAGTTGCCACAACAAAGGGCATGGTTCGGTCAGTTATAACAGTTATAGTTACTGTGGGATCCAAAAACCGCCTCGTGTGTGCACGGGATTTTTGCTCGCTGGTGCACGGGATGGCCCGACTCGCCTGTGCACAGGATGTCCCTTCATTCATCCAGATCATCATGATCATGATGATGATGATCACCATCATCGTCATCATCATCATCATGATCATGAACATCATCATGATCATGATGATGACCATCATCATCATCATCATCATCATCATCATCATCATCATCATCATCATCATCATCATCGCCATCGTGGCCATCGTGGCCATCATCATCATCATCATCGTGGCCATCATCATCATCATCATCATCATCATCATCATCATCATCATCGATCATCATCATCATCATCATCATCATCATCATCATCATCACCATCATCATCATCAGCATCATGATCATCAACACCACCATGATCGACATGGTTATCAACATCATTGTCATCATTAACATTACCATCATGATCATCAACATTATCATCACCAAAACCAGCAACATCACAAGAATCAACATTGTCATCACCGACATAATCATGATCATAACCACCACCATCATCAACGTGGTCATCGACATCAACGTGGTCACCGACATCAACATGATCATCAACACCGGCATGGTCATGATTTTCATGGCCATTAGCATCACCAGAATCAGCATAATGATCAGGATGATCGTGATGATCATAACAGGCATCAAATTCATCCCGTGCATCAACATCATCACGATCATAAACAGCATCATGTTCAAGACTACCATTTCGAACGTTCTCAAAATTGTTGCAATAAGCAACATCCCTTTGGTTTTAGATTTGTGCCACCTTCAGGGTCTAATGTGTTCTCTTGTTTCATGCGTGTAGTGTGCAATCACTTCGACTAGGTGCTTTTGCGGAATGGAAGTGCCTTTCTTCTTTCAGGTTCGAAGCGGCTGAGACATGAAAACCTTCTGTGGAACATCTATGTACAGATATCTGTTCCTCCCTGTTCCCCTGTTACCCCCAGGTTCCCCTGTTTGCCCCCTGTTCCCTCAATCTATATACACTTAAAGGGCTGTTTCTCTTATATGCCTTTACCCTTTTCCCCCCTGTTCCTCTGTTCCCCTGCTGTTCCCCCCCCCCTGTTCCCCTAATTTATACACCTAAAGGTTAGAGTCTCATACGTGCTGTCCTGTGCGCAGGTGAGTCTGTTTCCTGTGCGTGTGAGTCTCGTTTCCTGTGCGCAGATGAGTCTGGGATCCAGTGCGCAGGTGAATCACTTTCATGTGCGCATATGAGTCCTCTACCCAAATGGAGGGAGACACGAACTAGGTCGGTAATTTCATAGAAGATGAGTAATGGGGCAACGGATGAAACCAGCATTGATTGTAGAACTCCTTGCAGCCATAGCATGTGTCACCCATGTTCAGACAGCCCCTTGACAAGCCGTCACCAGGTGCAAAGACTCACAAAAGTGCCCCAACCAAACCAAACTTGGTTGAAGCAGTTTGAAACCACCAATGATGGCAAACTTTTCCCTCAATTGCAAGTACCAAACCACAGAGCCAGAAACATTCAGCCAAGCGACAGCATTATGCCACCACACGTCCACGAGGTATTTGGTTTTCGATTGCAACTAAGTGGAAAAATATGAACCCAACTCTTCGGGCAAACCTTCTCACATTTCGGCATGCCCATTGCCAGCCTTCCGTTCTCTTGCGCTTGCTTTCAAGTCACTCAATCATTTAGAACCAGATGCAGGAACAAAAATGTAAGTTAAACATATTAGGTAGGCATATGCAGAGGATGTAGGTTGTAACGAGATTTCAAGAGCAGCTCCCAAGTATTTTGTCCCAACAAACGCAACATTGCACTGTATGCAGGCCGAGAGACCATCAAAAGCCAAAAGCAAGACCTGGAGGAGGCCAACCAGATCACAGGGATTCTCCAGATCTATCACAGGTTTTCGGCTCTCTGCAGTGGGTCCATTGATTCCCTGTTTCATGGCAGGCGCGACATCGCATTGAACTCCAGGAAGTAGAATTGCGTGAGCATCAGCAGCGGCTAAAGCTTACAGAGGACACAATTTCACGACAGTGTCGACGTCTCTTGCGGCACTTGCAGGTTTGTGCATGATCTTTGCGCATGATCTATTCGTGTGCATATGAGACCAGACATATGATATGACTGATATGACATATTCGTTCTGTCTTTCGGCTCAGAGGGTTCCATGCCCTCAACTCCGCCACGGCCTCTGCAAAGGAGTCAGAGGCACGTTCCACTTTGAATGGCATTGATTTTGAAGTTTCGGCTCACAATGAGTGAGCTCCTTTGCTTTGGCCATGTCTCGGATCACGCCTTCTGAAACCATTTGTTGGAGGCTGTCAACGCAGTCAAAATGTGGAAGGCGTGGCATCCATATCAGCAATCCCAGTCGCAGTTCGCGTAGAAGACTCACATCGTGTTTTCTTACTTCTATCCCGGTGTAGCATGCTTGACCATGTTCAAGCCTACTGACCTGCATTAGCTTTCACATAGCGCAGCAGTTGTCGCAGGTTCGACCGGCGTGACTTGGCTTCAAGAGGTTTGGGCCAAGCCTTGAAAGACTGGATGCCCGCCTCCTCATTGAAACCAGTTTCCTTATGGAAGCATCTCCTCCAAGAAAAGGGGGGAATTTTCCTCGAAGCAAAGATACCTGGGATTTTCGGTGGCAACCTCTTAGGCACAGCTGCTTCGGATGCTTTACCCTGACCTTGGGAGTGGAAGCCTCTTGGCTTTTCCAAACCTCATCCAACACCCTCGAGAAAAAGAAGGCAGAAGGACCAGGCAAAACAGACTCATTCCACTTGTCAGTCAGCCCCTGTGGTCATGCCTGCTTTTTCAAGTCATAATGAAGATCCAGCATTGTCCAAGTTTCGGTTTGCAAAAACAAGGTCACATGTTTTATTACTCTGCTTGCCCAGAACCTTGGCCTTGCAAGTGCTGTGGGTGAGATGTTAGTTACTGTTAGTTATTGTGGAAAGATCGGAATTCTTTCCAGTGAAGAGCTTAGGATTTTGATCATTTCCCTATGTTCATCCTCTGAGCCGCTGGCCTTGATGAGCCTCAAGGTGCGACTAATTCACAGTGTCGTTGTGCTATATTATAAAAATATAGGACTATATAAGAGCTTTGTAAATCACATAGACAAGCTTATATACAAGGAATTATAAGGATATTTTATTTTTGTAAACAATTGGTGAAGGAGGGGGCGAAACCAAAGTGCATTTTGAAGGGGATGGCTCAATTAGCCGTACACATGTTAATGTAGAACCAGCAAGTAAGAATCCGTCTTGAGAAGGGGTTATGTGATGCTAGCTGCATGTTTACAAGGCCATCATGAATGAACCTATGATAATCTGGAAGGTAGACAGAGTCTTCATAAGAGACTTTGTTGCCTTGGGTCGGCCAAGGATAAACTTGGAGTTTGCGAAAGTTTCGCAAAAAATGTTGTTTCACCAAGAGCAGCCTTTTCTGGATGACAGCATTTAGATCAATCACCATGAGCGTCAAGGGCGCAAGTGGTGCATGACAAGCAATGCAGGTGTCCCCAACGGTTCAAGTTCTTTGTGCCTCGTGGGCCTTGGTGCCTTAGCTTAGTTTGTTTCAACTGCCCCGACTGTGAAGTCTTTTCAAATTCTTAATTCCTTTCTTGTTCGCCTAATTTCGATCAAAAGACCCTAACATACACTAAGTGTATCTAAGTGTTTCAATTGACCTTCTGGTTCAGCAACCTTTCCTACAATTTTCTGCTTCAGGCACTGATTGTGAGCTGGAACGAAATGTAGTAGACTCAGTAGACTCCCTTTTCAATTTGATTTTCATTTTGCAAGGTCGGCATCCCGATGGTGATATGTGCTGGAGTTGGAGTGCTCTACCATGTTGACCACTTGCTAAGGCGAGACGAAGACAGACTCATTGTGCTTTTAAGTTTTCGCATCTTTGTTTCAACTCGCATTTTGATCGGAGCTTCAGTACGGACTTATTCTCTGCACACTGCAGCATGTGAATCATTCATATAAAACTTGCTACACTTCCTCGCAATGTGAGGGCATTCTTTTGGTATTTGCTCTTCAGCCTTCCACTTGGCATTGCCGTGCCCACATGGCTGCTTGCCTCGGGAAAGGCACCGGAGCTTTCACACTCAGACAAACGGTGCAAGGTCAGCAATATCAGCAATGATGAACTAATGTATAACACAACCAATGCCCAACATTCAATGTGGGACCGAAACACAATCCAGATTTTGGTCACAACTTTGACTCCAACAATGTGAGGCTTCGTAAAGAATTCCCCAATGCAATGCTGTGTTGCAGGTCTGCAGCAGCGTGGTTGAGGATGAAGTTCAGCGATTGGGCCCTGCCTTCGTTTGCGGTTTCACGGAGGGGTTGGATGTGGTGTAAGATGCAAAGGGAAACACCATTGCCAAGAATGCCAAGAGTCAAATCGACTTGGTCCACTTGGTATTCTTGTGAATCTCATAATGGTCAGCGGCTTGTCAATCGGACTATTTTCTTTTCCAATGGGGTGCTGCACAGGAGAGCTTCGTGTTCATGTGGATGATGGTTGCCGGTCTTGTGCAATGCTACCTGGCCGGGCAGCACAGATCTTAACCTTGGTGAGCGCAGTCGTATGCGTAACCCAAAGAAAAAAAGTCTGATGAGTTCTCTGCTGCTAGTGCCAGAACATGGTCACGTGGTAGGTGTATGTGGTGTGGTCAGCTGCAGCAGAGATCAGCAAGATCCCAAACAACTCTGTGCACCTTGGCTTGACAGTGTGAGCGGAAGCGAAACACGCAAGATATAGTAAGAGCGAACATGGTGCTTACTGTGGAAACACTGTTGCTGTAGCGGAATCCTTGGGTCCATATAGGGATCTTCCTTTTCCTCTGCTCAACATCAAAGCATGTGATGCCACACTTGACTGCATCCGCGTTTGGCTCAGGGCTTTAACAGCGTATGCCAACAAGTTGCAGTTTCTGGCCAGCATGGGCTTGTCGCAGATGGATTCGAAGTCAGTGCTTAGCTCAGAAGTTGTCTACCAAATAGTTGCTTCCATCTGTCGAGTCGGAGCGTCAGGGATATTCAGGGATCAGAATCAGTCCAGTGAGTCCAGATCAGAAATGTATCAGATCAGATCGGAATCTTCATGGATCCGTCGGGACGGGTTGGGACGGTTTGGATGGTGGGGGTGGTCGGCCGGGATGCTCGGGACGGGTTGTGCAGGTTCGACCCGATCCGACCCAAGACATTCCGATGCTACGACTCAGCCCACACCTGTCTGCATCGAGCATCTCAGACCCAAAAAGGAGTCGTCCCCTGGTACACTTTGTACATCTTTGTACAATGTGAAGCGGAGCCCATGGACATTAAGATGAAACATATTCTTGAAGGATTTGAAGGTGACGTGCGCACCGTTCTGTGGACTGCCTTCGCGGTCGTCGTTGAAATATGGGAATTCAATGGAATCCGTAAAGCATCCGAAACACTTCCTGTTGCAGAGTTTCCCGGTGAAGATGCAAACGCCCTCAAAGCATCACAAAACTATCTAAGTAGGGAACCCACTAGGGAAATCCCCAAAACAACAAAACACATTTCAGGTGGTTGCAAACATTGCAAGACTGAAGCTCCCATGATTTCAGCCTTTGATGGCCCTTGACCTCAGAACTTCGGAACCGGAGAAGTGCCCTCTTGCCAACTTACCAATGCAAGGTTTGAACTCCGAGGTGCCTGTGCTGAATCCTGGTTACAATCCGTTCTCTTCGCTCCTTGGCCCTGAAGCTCACTGTGGGCCAATGGGAGTCAAGCCTTGATCGATGAATATGAAAAGAGGGGACGGGTCAATTGTAGCATACATTCCCAAGCCTCATAGAAGCAATCTAAATAAGGAGAGTACTGTCAGCACACTATGCAATGACTCTACACGTGGCCAAGGATGGCCAAGGTATTTGGCTTGCCCTTTTAATGCTCGACAGCTTTACTGCTAGGCTACTGTCAGAAGGTTCTCGAAGCTACGGCGCTGCTTCACACCCAGCAGATGCAGAAGGTGCTGCAACGGGACGAAGTGCTCGCAGTGCTCGCAGCGCTCACAGCGCTGTGAGTGCGCGCAGTACTGGAGGCGGAGGCAGCCTGAGCTGATCCAATTTGGGGATGTGTGGAGCATGTCTCAGCCAAACATAGCCGAACCTTTCGCCTTCTGAAAGGTAATCCACAAAGCTTCTTCCCTACGCCAGCCAGCAACTTCAAATCTGAAGTGGCCAAGGATCCGCATGACTGGCCTAATCATGGACATCTCTACATTTATGATTTATGAGAATTTTTGATTCTTTCTGTATGTTTGTGAGTGATGTGTATCTTTGCAATGTCCCTTGCAGGAGCCAGCTCCCCAAGAGCCGCAGCAAGACGCAGCAGAGTCAGAAACGCCAAGCAAGGCAAAGAGTCCAGATTCAGCGGCTCCAGGCTCTGAGCTGAATGCTCTAGTGATGGGATTCAAATGGATTCAATAGGTACTGCTTTTGACACTAGACATCATTAGACTCATGTCAGGGTCCCAGTTTTCTTCCATGTCTTCCGAGCCTATTGAACAGGTGCACCGCAGAGCTTCTTCCCCACACCACCAAGCAACATGGATTTCAAGTCTACTGCATGAGCGTCTGCGACTTAGATCAACTCCATGGTGTATTGGCGCGAGGGTTGACACAATTCCGGTGACAGGCCTTACATTCCAGTCAGTTTCCAGAGCTTTGCTTTTCATGGCATCGATATCAGCAAACCCTCTCAGCATCCCTCTGCGGTGCCTCAGACTATGGATGGAATGGAGATGACTGCTACCAGCAGTCAAGCAACAAGTGCTTTAGTTGTAGCTGTGACAAGTTGTTTCACTCCCGGCTACCTGAGAGCTTCGCGCAGCGATGTCTAAAAAGTGTTGCCAGTGTTTCTGGTAGAATTCATCTGAGTGACACTTTGCCGTGGACGGCAGTTTCTGGGAGAGAGCCTACGTTCGAGCATTTTTTTTAATTCCATTCTCATTTTGTGAACCTTTTTCTGTACGGGAGGACAAGCTACGTCGACGGCTCGAAACTTATGAGGAGTCCAGTGAGTCCAGAAGTCAATTCCGTTGAAGAACAGCCAGAACAGCTCCCGTCAAATGGCCTGCTTTGCTTGGTGTCAGGAGCAGCAACAAAGCCGTGCCACGACTCCTCGAGTTCCGGATGGCCAAGACAGCCTTGTCCGCTTCTAAGTTTCATGGGTCAAGATGTAGAATCCTGTCTCAAGGATTTTGCTCAGACCAGCCTGAGGCCAAGAAACTCATAGCTGCTGAGGCAGAGTTGGAGGTGTGCATTGCCAAATTGAACGCTGTAGCAACGTCAAAGTTAATCTCGTTACACCGTTGCACTTGCTTGTTTCGGCCTAAGCCGAACATGACTCCGCCTCCAGGCACTTCGGGAGGAGCTGCTTTCATCTGAAGAGGCCTGTGACACGAGATGTGGCAATATGTTACATGGACCCCGGCCATGCAGCCTCATCTCACAGGCGGCGGCTCTTGAGCACAAGCGGGCATCGGAGTTGGAGGCAAAAAGTTTTGGCAAAAAGAGGGATTTCACCATGGATCAGGGATGATCAGGGCAACGGCAATTGTACAGTATGTACAGCTGAATTTGGCAAGTTCTTGGACAGCCTTGTTAGACATGTGGGAAATTGATGTTGACTCATTGACTGATTGTGCTTTCTTGGTAGCCAATTGCTTTTGCAATAAAGGCGGCCCTCGAACAGAGCCACCGGGAGTTTGCCGAGTGGAAGGAACAGCAGGTTGGCTGACTGGGTTGGTATGTTTGGGACTTCGCCGGTCGAGTTCCCCGAGTGGAGCTAGGCATAGGGGTGTGAGTCCACAATCACCTGCATCTCATGTGCTTAATGATGTCTCATTTGTTGTCTGAGCTTCCACTTGATGTTGATTTTTATTCACGTCGCTTCGCGACGGCAACCGCCCGCACCGCATCGTTGGGCTCACACAGCAGGGGCATTGAGACCAAAAACATCCGAAAGTACTGATTGTCGGGAAAAAAAACCGCGAAGAATTTGATGGCCATGTATAGCGGACCAACGCAGTTCAAAAAATAACTAAAAACATGAAAAAACGGCGAAATTGCTGTTATTTACAGTGTTTTTGCGCGGTGAGAAGCAGAAACCACTGCAAATACCATGGTTTTTGAGGGTCAGGTGGCCAAAAACACTGTAATTTACAGTGTTTTTTTAACCAACGTCAAAAAAACACTGGTATTTACGATGTTTTCATTCACACCGTAACATAAAACAGCGTAATTTACGAGGTTTTTGGAAGTTTTGAAGCTAGCCGTCAAGCATGCAGAAAACAGAAAAACACTGTAAAAACCAGTGTTTCTGCTATCCCAAAACGACGAAAATCAGTCCGAAAACGGGTCCAAAAACTCAAAAATCCGCCTCCGGGCCAGGCCACCTGCGGAACCGCAAAAAAAGATGTTGCAAACCAAAAAATTGAGGTCAAAAAGTTGAAAAACACGGTTTTTTTTCACTTTTCGCTTGCCGATTTTGGACGGGCGCGTTCACGAACAGGTGTCTTCCGTACTGTTTTTTACAGTGTTTTTTGAAGGCGAGCGTCACGACCTATCAAAAACAGGAGGTTTTGGCCGAAAAATGCCCCCCCCCCCAGGTAAACCTGTAACCTTTTACGAGTGCCATCCGGAAGATCACGCCCCAGCACCTTCGGTGCGGGCGGATTTCCTACTGCTGCTGGCCCAGCACATTTCACATTCATATAGGACCTAAAGGAGCCTTCCCTGAGCGCAACCTGGCTGAGTTTGCCTGACTTGGAAGGCCTTGCAGAGCAGTAAGCGACGTGCAAAGCAAGGCGGGCACCGCTGCGCTACGTTCTCTATTCTGTTTGTGCTGTATCTGCTTTGCCATCACGGTCCTTACCCCTCACATTTCTTCATCTTGCTTTGGTTTGGCTATATTTCAAGCCCAGCTTGCTGTTGGACTTGATTTTTGCTGTTAGGCGGTCCGTCAAGCAGATCCAGGCGTAGTGCGTTTTTGAGATACGGAGCACGACTTTGCATCTGTTTGACTGTGGTCTGCTTTACTCATATTTGCAGATTCTTTTTGAGGGAAAAATGCATGAACATGTAGTGTAGTCTTCGACACGACAGCATATGTTAAAACTGACAGACCCGCGCAGATCCTGCTGTGTGTGTGTGTTGCAACCATGTCACAGGAGCTTTGTGGAATCGGCGGGACGCCTCAGTGCATGGTCTTGTTGAGAAGTTACGGACTTTGTGTTGTACCGACCCAGAGAAAACAGAGTCTTTGTTCTACTGACTCGTCACCCACATGGAATGTACGCATAATTGCACAACCCGTCCAGTTCACGTGCTTGCCGTCTCTCTGGAACAAGCCGTCCCGCTCCATTCAAAGCTCAGCAACCAGGCCAGCACTCCACTCAGTGAGGTGCGTCTGAACTGTGTGCTTCATGTGTGCCAGAATCTGGGTGTGAGCATTGATTAACATGATTCTTGATATTTGGCATTGCTTTCTTCAGCATCACTTGACTTCAAGATAGGGGGTGCTTGCCCCAGCTATCCCCGGCTATAGGACCTGCAAACCATGGCTTCTGGCGATGCAGCTGCTGGGCCAAAGGCATGCAACCGATTGTGTGGTGTGCTTTTCAATTTCAGGATCCATGGTAGATTAGTTTGAAGAATATCATTTTCGAAAATTGCAAAGGTAAAAGACTCTGTGCAAAGATGTGCAAAGTATTAGCTTTGAGGACTGAACGTTTCATATGGCAATAGAAGGTTTTCCCAAGCAACCCAGAAGTGTCATGATTCAAGCAGTCCAGACAGGCGCCCAAGCAGAACGCGTCGCCAGTGGTGCCAAAGCTAGCCATTTTCGATCGGCAGCAGACCCGGAGTGGCAGTTGTGTCAGGAATGTGAGCGATGCTGCTCTTGTATATCATTCAACAATCATGGGGTTTTGAGATATTTTCTTTGGTGCCTTTCTCATTATACCTGCTCCCATCCTTGTTTTTCATTGATTGGCTGCATTACTGGGGGTGTTAAAGGCCCAGCACATTCGACCACAAACAAGGAAAGCGCGGTTGCAAGCCCAGTTGAGCCGCCCCAGCAACTTGGATTGATTTGTCAAAAGCTTTTTATTTTGCCCGGCGCATTTTACTTTTGGGTCATAGAAATGCCAAATCAAGCGTGGTGTGCAATTCTAAAAATCCATGTGATCTGCATCATCGTTCCTGGGAAAACTGAAATTTCGAGGTCAGCATTGAGTGGCAAGCTTTGGGTCGGGTTCTTCTTGCTCTCCGTTGTTCTCCGTTGCTCTCCGTTGCTCTCCGTTGCTCTCCGTTGCTCTCCATTGCTTTGCATTGCTTTGCATTGGTCTCCATTGGTCTCTGTGGTTCTCCGTTGGTCTCTGTGGTTCTCCGTTGGTCAGTTGCTCTTGGCAGGTCCAAGCAACCTTCAGCCGCGGAGGCCAGCTGCAGATGGTACCTGATTCAAAGTTTGGACGCTGACGTTGTGATTTGTTCAGGCCAGAAGGTGCCGCAGCAAATGCACCACCAGGACCGAACCGTCCTTCCAGGCCACAAGATGGTCTTGCAAAATCTTGCAAAGGGTGCTGCACTGCCATGTTGCTCCTGCCCTCCGGTGTCCATGTTTGACATTCAATTTGTGATGGGTACTGTACAGTCATGTCCCGGTGTTTTTCGAATGATTTTGCATTTTGGATGCCAATTTCTGTCAGGTCCAGCATGCCCGCAGACATGGCTTCCTTGAGCCGGTGACAGTCTGAGAGCTGACATAGAATATTTGAATATTTGAATCGATGAGTTGGGACATGGCAAGAGTTTCAGCCAGGGTTTACAAGGGACTTTCTCTCAAAACTCCCCAGAGTTCTCGGGAGTGATTCTGAGCAATCCTTTGCAACTTGGCAAGGCTCCTCGGTGCTGGCTTGCTTGGGCCTTCTGGCGTGCCTTGTTGGGATAGCGACATTGCAGGGCTGGGATGGTGGCAGCTGGTGGAAGAAATTGGGGCCCCGTGACTGTAGGACTTTGGGGATGCAAACATGATGCTGCACTCCTTTGAACATTCTTGAACCATCTAGCTGATACATGGAGTTATGCCAGTAATCCCTTCCTGCTGCTTGGGTTTTACCTTTTACCATGATTGTTCTCACATAGCAACTTCTTTAGGAGTAACAATTTTGGGTAGTCAAGATAAGAATTGATGCATGCAGACTGTGCATTCTTGTGCCGTGCGCAGGCAGTTTTCTCTGTTGACTGAAATCACCACAGAATTGCATGAATATGTTGCTGAAAAAGGGCGCAAGGCAAACGGAAAATCTAGTCAGCCGTGATGTTTTGGTCAGTCTCAAGGTTATTAAGTGCAAAGTGGATTGCGACAGCTTCAACTTCAACTTACAAGTCTCCAGATAGATTCAGACTGACATGTAAGGTTGATCCTTGTGCATTGACTTCACTGACCTTGTCGCAAGCCGTTCAGTTTCGACAGTTTCAAACGATGTTGCTTTTGCATGTTACATGTTCACCAAGGCCATCAAAGCTACCCCGTGAGATCCTCGAGGTGCTGGGAGTCTCAAGGAGTTCTATACTCAGCCCCAAAAAGTGAATATCTTTTTAGTGGGAGATTGCCTTTGAATTGTTGTCAGCAGCCCAGTGCTCCTGTTGCTTAGCGCAAATGTTATTACCAGAAATTAAGGCTAGGAGCCAATAGTACTTGAGGCCAGGAGTAGTAGAATGCCAATCACAATGCATTAAATTCCTTGATGTGGAGTTCAGGTTTGGGAAACTCACTGGTCGTGAAAGGATTAGCCAACACATATAGGCCGCATGACATGTGAAACAGACACGTCATGCGGCCTACAAAGAACCAGTCTTGAGTTTCCAAAGAAAAGAAACAGCACTGAATATTGATAGTAAGGCTGGGGATATTTGGGGATCCCATTGCCTGTGTTACAACATGCACAAATTTCCATCCAAATGACCTCCTTGCAGGCAAATCGCTAGCCAGAAGTGACACCGAGTCCAGACCAAGTCTCACTCGGTGTAGATATACCGATATACCTTGGAATGCGCGTGGTGAAAAACAACTGAGCACGGGCCAGGTGCTTCCAGTCTCAAAGTGGTTTCTGCTCCGATCTCCAACGGCGCCGCTTCCTGCGATTACACCGTCTTCCGATGACATGTTGTTTTGCAGCGTCCCCAATCCAAGATGCCATGTTGTTTTTCCAGAGATCCAGTGAAGGTTCTTCTTTTTGCACAGGTATTTCCATTACGTCGTACAGAGTTCATGTTGTTGAACATCTTGCGGTATACACGTTATAAGACAATGGGAGAGAGACAAATCTATGCGTGCAGAAGGCCCATCATGAGGCACGTAAAACAAAAAGAACCAGCTTTCCCAAGTGTCGTGAAAGGAAGGACCGAACAGCTCAAACATCTTCAAACACATTTGCGCAGCCGTAATGAAACGCAACTGGCGTGAAGTGATCCTCCAAACATTTTTGCAGTAAACAATCAAAAGGATTTGAGGCCGCGCATAATATGTTTGCAACTTGAACATGACTTCTCGCGTCCCAAGCTGTAGCTGGATGCGGTAGCCAGTACAGTTCCTCCCTCGATAAACACGCTGTGGCTGCAAGGTGGTGTGCAAACAGACTTTGCACGGTGAGATTTCAATCACTGCATCGGTCAGATTGAGATGGCGCCCTGCGCAGGACAAGGGCCCATGGCCCATGTATACAAAATGGAACACATGCGTGTGAAGGATTAAGTGCTATGTCGGCAGTATTTTTGATCCAATGTGCAGGCCCGGCGAATCACTTGCCTATATTCCAGGCAGGTTCATACTATGGATTTTGTATGATTTTATTTTATGATTTTACTAATTGCGTCTTTGATGCGAGCCACTAGAAGAGACGCCGGTCCTGACGCAAAAAATCTTCCTCCTTTGGACAGCGGCTTCTGTATGAAGTCCACCCCCTGCCTTCCATGACTATTTGTGCTTCCCCGTGCCTAATTTGTTTCTATGCCTATATTAGAAAAGACCCAGTTCGCCACAACCAGAACGGCATATGCTCCGAAGAACGGCAGCCATAAGCAGGATACATGGTATTTGGGAGTAGCCTTGCGCAGTGAAACAATTCAAAGCGTTCATTTTTCATTTCAAACATCCCCCGAAATCACGAGCAACTGAACAGTAAAACCGGAAAACACATACGTTTTGAAACCGGTCACGAACGGTGCAGGGCAGACAAGTGAAGGTGAAGATATTCATTTTGGACTCAACACCAGCACGAAATCCGCAGAAAAGTGCCAAGCAGACAAACATTTTCCAGATTTCAAAACAATGTTAATGTTGAAGAAATGTCCCAGTGGAAATTTCCTGTAGAACAGTAGAACATTTTCACACCAGGGTTCCAAGCGAAACGTGTTTCTACAGGACACTCCTGGTGCAAATTTTCAAGGTGCAGGGTGGTATGTATTTTTCCGTTAGGCAAGTGTCTTGAGTTGCTGGTGCAATCGCTTCGCTGGTCTCACCCCATGAATGCTGCTTTGATTTCCGTCGATTCGAAGGTTTGGCAACAAAACATGTAAGCTGCTTCTGCAAAACATGTATAAACTGCTTTGATTTGCCCAAACTCATTGCTGCAAGGCTTCAGCTGGTTCCCCGAAACAAAGTTGCCATGTTAGCCACCTTAATTTAAACCACAACAAGGAATTTAGGCAGCTTTTGCTGCTGTGCGTTGGTAGTTGTTGCAATGGGAGAGGGCTTTTGTATTAGGCTTGGGTTGTCACGGAGGGTTTGTTCACACTACGAGTCTTCCTTCACAAAGAGCACCAGCTTAAATCCTTGTCGTGCCCGTGCAGGCTCAGATGTAGTTGCGGCATCACAAGCATACTGCAGACCATTGGAAGTCATGACCCTAAATTATCTGAAGTTAAACCTATATGCCCATAAGGGCGGCCCATGAAAGAAACATGTGGTGTAAATTTAAACACGTCCCACCCACTTCCAAAAGTTGGTGGCATACATATATTACCCAGGATGAAATTATATAACCATACTAAAAACCAAGCAATGGAATGTAATCGTGCAACAGACTATACCATCCATCAAAGCCATGTGCTGCATAGCCAGAAAAACAGGAATGGTATTCGAAAAAAGGATTAATCGCAAACAAATTTAGAATTATACATCAAAAAAGCAGAGCACTGTAAAGGAAATTAAGGAACCCATAACGCAGTAGACGCTGGTCCCCTCCGCCCTGGCGGTTACTGGGTCTCGTGGGAACCGCACTCACACACATACACAAAAACAAAAACAACAAGATAAACAGCAAAATAAACAAGAGGAAAACACAAAAAGACAAGTTCTGGCAATAATGGTTTTGGCGCTTCTCGTGCTAATGAGAAGAACATCAGCAACAAGAAGAAAGACACATCCAGCTTGATCTTTTTGACATCCAACAACCACGGCGCAAAAAAATAAAAACAACGAGATCAGCACAGCAACAGGTGGCCGAACATTCTGGGACGGAGGCGCCGCGCCCTCCCAACCAACCCTTTTAGCAATACGAAGTCTGCGCGATGGACCATAGACTGTGGCTGCAAAAAGTCTGGTCTCGCGGACAACCTTCAATGCCAACAACACCAATGAACAACCAGAAAACGCAACGACAACAACGACAACAACGACAACAACGACAAGAACAACAAGAACGACAAGACGGACAAGAACGACAAGAACGACAAGAACGACAAGAACAACAATGACAAGAACGACAAGGACGACAAGGACGACAAGGACGACAAGGACGACAAGCACAAAAAAGGACGACAAGGACGACAAGGACGACAAGGACGACAAGGACGACAAGGACGAAAAGGACGACAAGGACGACAAGCACAAAAAAGGACGACAAGGACGACAAGGACGACAAGGACGAAAAGGACGACAAGGACGACAAGGACGACAAGGACGAAAAGGACGACAAGGACGAAAAGGACGACAAGGACGACAAGGACGACAAGGACGACAAGGACGACAAGGACAACAAGGACGACAACAATAACCACAGCCACAGCCACAGCCACAACAACAACAGCAACAACAGCAACAACAGCAACAACAGCAACAACAGCAACACCACCAACACCACCAACACCACCAACACCACCAACACCACCAACACCACCAACACCACCAACACCACCAACTGCGGAATTTAACAGCCCCAGGGGATAAACAGTAGGTTGTCAACCAGATACCTTTCAAGATCTTAAAATGTGAGTTCTTATGATGTCACTCCCAGTGAAATCTCTGTTCTGATGTTTTCCATAATCGCGGTGTGGCCCTTGAGCCAGATTCCGGGATGGAATTCATTATTCCATGGACAGCACATCCAGCCTTTGGCAGGATGAAAAACTGTTTTCTTTGCATCAGTTTGGGTTAGATCCAAGTCCTTCAGTTCTGTTCTCTCACAGCCTACTCACTTGGAAATTCTTGTCGACCCAAACGTTGACCTAATTAGCACCTTCTATGGTGCAAAAGTTGGTGTCAAGCAATTTCTTCTGTGTCACATGCAAAACAATGAGTGAACAGCAGTGAACGAAATTTGCAAATCAGTCCAAATTTAAAGTGGATCTAAGTGACAAATTCTGAAACTATGTCTCACTGTTCTTGGCTGAGATGGTCATTCGCTCAGACACTTGGCTTGTCTACTTTCCTGCTATCACTACGTTTCCACCACTTCTCAAGTGGCTCTTTCTGCAGTTCAGAACATTCAAGCAAACATTTGGTTCCACCAAATGTGAAGATTGCACAAAACCAAAAAAACGGAGAAATATGTGCAACTGATTATGGCTTCGCAAATTAAATCCGAGATCACAACTGCGAGACTCTCTGAACTGAGTGCACGGGCACAATCCAAATAAATCGCACTGCGCTAAGCACTATAGGTCAATGCTCGGATGCTTGTAGTTACATGTGGTTGCCGATGGCTTCTGAAGACAAGCAAATGGCATAAAGTCTAGAGTGTTGGAATCGGTTTCTCTCACATTTTCCACAACTGTTCTCAGTTGTGAGCAGCTTTCCCATCTGAAAATATTTCTGACTGTCGCAGTGGAGCACGCACTCCCAAGAAATTTAGTTCAAGCTCTCGTGACATCTGCTGCACTAAGTTTATGTCTACCGACGGATGCATCAAAGATGCACAGACATTATCCAACTAAATCTCTATGGAATGAGATCCTCACTCTTTGCACTGCACCTTTGGATTCACAATTCCGGCAGGAATTGTGCAAAACTTGGCTTATCACTGTCCAAAAAATCAATACTCTTTCTCAGGAGAAAATTTCGTGTGTTCTGCACCAAAAATCAACTGTGCTTTGGCGTTTTTGATCAAGAAAATCATTTCAATTGGTGTTGAGCACCAAACGGCATATGCTTCATGAATTTAAGCCTAAGCGGCTGAGATTTTGGATCTGAAGCGCTGACACGATTGTTAACATGCACCTCTGTCCCAGATGGTGCATTATATTCACACCCCCTTTCGTGTCATGGCGGAGGATCTGCGCACAAGGGAAAATTCGATGTACTGAAGTGCAAATGATTGCAAGTGTCAAAGGGCTGGAAGTCACATGGGATTGCATGAGTCTTAAAAGATCTGCAATGATGAGACTAAAGGAAAAATTGACATCTTTTGCCTTCGCTCGCCACTGCTTCTCAAATCTTCTCATATCCAACATGTCCCATGGCTATATAATTCAAAGGTTGGAATACTTTGCTGAAAACCTGTCACCTCATATACACCCGAAGCTCACTAAGTTTCAGGCTGCCGAGATAGGAAATTCAGCCAATCTCTTTCGTGAAAATCGAAAATCCTCAGGTTGTTTCGGGTCCCACATCAGATAGGCGTTGTCTGGCCCATGCGGTCGGAAATCATAAAGCTCTTTCTCGAAAATGCTTTTCACAGAGGCGATGAGGCACCCACACAATTTCCAGGGATACCTTTC